AAATTCAGTCAAAAAATCGCATGCTGCTGCTATATGATGTTTGAGTTGTTCTGCATCTTCAGGAAGGTAGTTTTTGCGAGACAAATAGGTCTTCTCAACAATGGACCTGTCATGTACTCGGGGCGAGTTTTATGTCCGGCCTGCCCAATCAACGTCCAAGGCTGTTTGTTGGGCCTAGAAAGGTGGAAAAGACTCCCACTGAACGGCGCAGACTGACCATCACTTGATGAAAGGCGCGGTATCCTAAACAATACGTGTTACAGGTAGATAAGTTTGGGTTGATTATTGATGGAAAAACAGCGATAATAGCAGAGTTAGTTTACAACTGAACGTTTCGATCACTGTGAGTGACTTTCCTCAGGAGCAGAATAATCTGGATTACAAAGTGCACACACGGTGCACAATCCATTCGACCTGCTTCCTATCTCATACGATGTGGATATTCTGAAATATTGACCTAGTGAAAAAATTGTATTCCTTTCAATGACTGAAGGAGAATAGGCAAAATCGAAATACTATAAATAGTTTTGGCTTTAAATGAGGATTTGCGCCTATATTTCCCAAGCATATCAAACATTCAGTGGAAACCTTTGAAATAGGACCTCCACTCAGAATGCTTGGGACGCACGGAGTCGCCCCATCGATGAGATGCTCTAGTAATTCGAATAAAACAAAACCTTTTCAAGCGAGGTTGGAGATCACCTGAAACGTGTACTGTCCTTAACGGAAGGCGGATATTTGACCAGCGTCCTTCAGCAAGTAAGAGGAGAAAGATCGAAGTTTCCGGAGTTTTCAATGTAGTTTTTAGGGAAGATTCTGTTTTCGAATCAGGCACTGTCTTTGACTCCCAAAAATGTTACACAAGTCGAAGAAATTTCTGATCTGGTAAGACCAACATAATGGCTTATCTATCGCTGGAGAAAACTATGGTCTTATCGGCTTGTTAAGCGTTTTCTCGTCCGTTTTGTTCTGAATTTTCAAGGAGGCTACCATGACCTGTTCCTCGAATGGGGAAAGCATAGACGGGCTAATGTTACACTTCCGGTTTCTCTCCATTGCACGGGTTCGTGAGATTTACCGTACTTCAGTTTCTGGACGCTGTAGACATCCCATATCATCATAAATTCAATTGGCAGTGTCTCAACGTCCCAATGGGATTAACTGAATACTAAGCGCCCCCAGTGTGGGAGCCTTTTACATTCCAAATGTCCCATGTTTATCCTGGTTTATCGGTCGAAGGGATGGATGGTTTCATAAATAGAGCAGAGATGTGGGTCCATTCGGTTTCCTTTTTCATCCGTAGTGTTTTTGCTTGTAGCTGAATAATTGACATAACTTTTTAAAATCAGGAAGAATGGCTCGTATTGGCAAATTTTTTCCTTGAATGTGTCACGTGAAGTTCTTCCTTCTGAAAGGTGGTTTGCAGCTGATGATAGTGCCAATCACGTTTCTGCACAATCCAGATATACTTCCCCGAATAATTCGTTCGTTTTGAATAACTCAGCCATTCCGATTCCCCAGTTTGGATCCCCCTGCTATGAGAAAAATTGCTAACTCAATAGCATTTGATTCGATTATTTCCATGCTGAAAAGTCCTGTGCACACATGCGCTCTGTCTTCGAACAGCCAGTACAGCACATTGTAACCGGTCCTCTCTTCAATTTTCAGGCTGTTTTTACCACCATCGTATAGAAATTTGACAGTTTAGCTTCACCCGTTTAGAGGTTATGTACGAGGCTTTGTGTAAAATGAACATATGCTCATGAACAAACACTAGCAGCTGCCACCTTGTTGTGGATTGAATAGCACTTATTGGCACTGCTGAATGTAGCGTGTCGTAGGCGCCTAGAAGCTGCCGTGCATTCATTCTGGATACATCACAGGTTATCTTGTGATGTGTGATCTGATCACGATCTGCATTCGTTTGTTCGCTGGAGTTGGGCCGATGAGTGCTAACCAAAAGCAAATAACCATTTGAATCTTCCAATCCATTTTTATGAGTTTATTGCGTATAGGGGGCTTTCACAGCTTGAAGTCACTTGTGTTCGTGTTCATGTGTGTAAGCGAATCGATCTGTAGAGGAACGATAAGATGAGCACATATACATTATTACAATGAGTCTGTGATTGAAAGCCTTGGTTTGTGATTTACGATAAATTGTGTTGCATACTGTTGTATACAGTTGGTACTTTTACCCTTTGAGTAATTTGGTACGGTTGACTGAATAAGCTTTTTGTAATCCAGGAGGAATTCGAATCTGTATGTCTTGATCATGTGAGATAGGCATGTGATCGGCCCTCTTTCTAAGTTTTTGAACAAGCGTTTTATGATTTCATGTTTATGGGCTGATGATTCTCCGTCATGCTTGGCCAAGAGCGAAATCTGTGACCTCGACTTGGCGAGTCAGCTTTTCGGGGAATACCCTCGACCCTACCAGGGACGGACTGTACAAATAAATAGCATGGTATAATCGATTGTTTTCCGCTTTCCCTTTAGGAGCCTCTGTAAACCGTGTGGGTCCGGAGAACACACGTCGCTTCATGTCAGCCACTGCCAGTTCGGGTGCTAAACGGGTGACGATTAACGAAACTCTAAACAACCGTCCTTCTCAAACTCCATCTGCTGTCCCAAATAGTGCGAAAAAGCCTGTGACTAGCATGAAACTTCGCCGTCCGCCATCCAATGCTGCAAACGCAACCACCACAAACCCTTGTTCGATTCCATTTAGTCGGGCCCACGCAAGACGCCAAACGTTCCCGAGGGGTTCCGAACTAACAGCACTGGTTATGGCCACGATTGATTCCTATGAGGATCCGAAAGAATATCTGTTATATCGTATGCTTCAAGGGACAGATCTAACTAAGGCCGCCCCCAGTACGGACGATGTTTTCAGATCGTTCAGGTCACGTTCACCTTCCCTCTCAAAACCTCGTGTTACCGTTGTAAATATCGATCCAGATTCTGATCTTGCGTTAACTTCAAAGGCTGTCAACCCGAATGGGATGTCTCAACGTGTCCAACAGCATCCAACTTCAGTGGTGAACGGGAGCAAAACTGGAAAAGAATACGTACGTTTCTCAGTGTTCATTTAAAGAAGTGCGGTTTCTTCCTAGCGGTAATTCATTGTGTTTCATTAGAAAACGGTCTGTGAACAAAGCATCACCCGTTCTTCTCTCCGGGCATCACAACTTTTCTCTAATGAGCGGTATTCTGTGAAATCGATGGACTTATTTTGTTCGCCTTCACTGTTTGTACGTTTATCACTGTTCTTTCCCCTCTGAAGGTAGCTCTCCACAGGTTGATGTAATCTGCCCATAAGTCAGTAGAAAAAGCGTGATCTAGAACTGGCTAAGGGCGTAGGATGCGACCTTCTAACTGAAAGACCACCCTTTAGTTATTTGATGGCACCCTCTTAGGTTTCAACAGCTTACCTGTCGCCAACGATCCATTCTTTTGTTCGGACTATATAGCTGTGAATGGAAAGGATGCCCTCGCTGAACAGAAAGGAAGATAATTAGAAGATACAGCACACATTCTCTCTAAAAAGTCTTTCTTTGCTAGCCAACTAATCACGAGAACAAGTGAAGAAATGACTGCAACGCCACTGATTCGGGTTTATTGGGTGAGTTCCTTATGGATTGTCTGTCAGTCAATAAGCATGCGCTGGGCCTGATGACCCAGATATACACCGTTTACGCCTCGGATGCCACAGTAGGCAATGAACCAGCCACGTCACGATGTTCAAAGCACATAATATCCGGTGGGGGACATCGGAAGTAAAAACGAACAGAGAAGGACTTTGTCAAATTCTGCCAAGCAGGCGAGCACTGATTAGCACTTGACGACTATCTAGCTTACTCAGCTCACGCAAATTGATTAAATCCGTAGTTTGTTTTGTGGTACAAAAATACGTCACTTTCCGGTTTACTATTCTAATAAGACAGGTATAATGACTATTTCAATCGACCAAGTATCTCTTTAAACCGATTTCGTATTACTCCTGTTTTTTATTTTCGTTTTGATTGGAATGCTACTCCGGATTTAGTGAACCGTGGCTTCGCTCTGAACGCTTTGATTTTAATCCACTTTCTCAGAGATGACAGCGGGCAGCGTGTTGTGCGAACCACCCTAGTTTAGCAATATGCGGTCTGGCGACCGTGAGACCACATAACGGAACTTTTGGCATTTAATTATGGTACAAAACCACGAGTCAGTGATGCCCTGCCCTCGTCGGATAACCTGTGATTCGTCTGTTGGTTGTAAACCATTGGATTATCTATTTTAAACTTCATCATTGTCCGTTACGACTTTTGGGCGTTTAGAAGCGATATTGGTGTCCCTTGCGTCAAACTGTTCATATGTGGAACCAGTCCCGCCTAACTTTGTCTCGCTTACTTTCGGTTGTTTTGTGTGTCAACCAACTCACATCTTTTGGCCATCCTATCGATACTCCGTTTTTCATCAGCGACCGTATAGTCACATATAGGGTGGCACACAATAATGATACCTGGCTGAATGGTGCATTACCAAGGACTGGTGTTGTTTAGAAAGACCAGACGACAAGCTAGGGTAACTTTATAACGCTTTCAAGCGGTGACGAAGCACCGTATCAAAGTTTTTAGCTTTATGCAGCCCAAACAATACATAAGGTCCACGGGAGGCACTTTTAGGTTATTACAATTATTTTTTGTGCATGGCTTTTCACAATATTTCCCCAGCGGAGATGGTTCTTACGTAATGGGTGAAATGATGCGGACTCACTTCGGGAAGCTTGTGGCTGGCCGAAGGTCTCACAAGTCTCACAAGGTCATTATTTCACCATTTCCGAATCTGTTTACTTGCTTAAGACATGGCTGACATAAGGCAAATTCACTCACTTATCGTTTGTGTCACCGTTCACATGGCCAACTGGCTACTTGTCCGCAATATCTCGCCCAGTTTTCTGTGCTTCATCCATTCTAATAAAAAGGACAGAAAAGGACAATACTGTCTGAGCATTGTTGTAAGCCTACCATCCTGATCGACTGTGTGGCTTAGTTTTCTGAGGTCCCTCTTTTGTCAACGCAACATCCGCCGCAGAGCATCACCCATTTACGTCCTTTTTTGTGAATCGGTGATGCATGTTTTAACGACGCCATTACACTACCCAATTCCGTTCGATTGTCGTAGACACGCACGAGGCCACAATGAATGTAACGTTGTAACATGTTTGTAACATAATGTAACAGCAGATACCGGGGCTACTCACAACGCAATGTACCAAGGTTTGTGGCCCGTAAGTACGCTACTTATTTCCAATGAATCCAACCAAATACGCATGTTGGAACGTGACGTCACCCATCTAACGCCATCAGGTCGACGCGGGTTGAAAACATTCCTGTGGATGCGTACATACATACGTGCAACAAGGATAAGGTATTTGTTTGTGTAAAACACAGCCGTCGGTCGTAGAACTGTTGTTGAGTGAAATTGGAGAACACAAAGGCTTTATCACGATCAATCGTGACCGCTTTCACGCGAACCCATACTAAGTGGTTCTGATCTTAATCCAATGAAGACCAATTTAGGTGGCGGAGGATGGATTTCAAAGGATACAGTAAGCAGACCGTTTCGATGACCTAGGGTGAAGGTGCCGCTAGTCACGAGGTCACGAGGTTGTGTCAGAGTTTGCCTACGGAACTTCTGTGCACCATGTGCATCGAAATCACTCTCGAATATCGTAGCAACTGAAACATGAGGCGTCCTTCGTGCAGCACTTCCAGTTGTAGAACGTCATAAACGAGAGATTGAATCGAGTCTCTCCCAGTTGATATTTAAATGAGTGTATTTGTCGCGGATACTGTAGTACTTCTCGAGTAAACTTACGCGCGAGGTGGCTTCGTGTTTTGATCCGTACGATATGTCGTCCAATTTTGTGTTCATGTGGAATATAAGGTTGACGGAAACCCAGAGACTGTGTCTATCTTGTGAGCTCCAAGAGGGACAAAACCAATCCTAGACTGTCGAAGACTGTCCGGCAGTCTTTTGAGTAACATGTTCCTCTCCTGTATTTTTTGTAAGCTGAGATGCCCATTTGAACTGTTAGGCATTTGGCATGAAGTTGATTAAGCGGAAGAATACCGTTGATGGAAATTTTCTCTGAAGCTTGTTTGAATCTTCGGTTTAAGCCAACTAAGTAGGTAACTTACTTAAAAACAGTCTACGCGCTTTAAAAGGTGCCTCATTTTTATCGGCTTTCATGAGGTTCTACTCGGATTTGTATTGTTACAGGATTTGATTAGTGCTCACCCATTCCGTTGGTCAGTTGATCAGTCGGTTGGTTCACCAGTTTTCCGGCCACAAACCGTGTGCTGAAGTACGATGGCTCTACCTGGTACAGCCTCTTTCAGGGGAGCGTTCACCCGGCCAGTTGCTGTGGGACACAATCAATCCTGTCAACAGCCTTGGCTTTGTTTCCTTCCGGGGTGACGGCAGCCACAAGCCCACTGATTTGACTGGGCTTCGTTGCCAAGTCATGAACTGCCCGCCCCTGGGTCGTCTCCGTTCAACGCAATGTTGGGCGAAGACAGCTTTGCGAGGCAAATAGCAGTTGATATAATCAACTACACTCGGAGTCCGAACTTCCGTTAACTGATTTCTCAGGTAAACGCGCCTGATCACTACCCCATCTGCGTCATAACCCTCTGATCTAGAATTGCTTGACGTATAGGAATGTCCACATAACATACGTGATTTTCTCAGTTGCTCTAACGACAGTCAAGCAACTATCCACTTTCCTCCGATCGATAACCGGCACACAAGCATCACCTCCATAGAAAGCAACATCTACCAGAACTGGTTCATTGCTATATGACCATAATTTCTTATTTAAAGATGACTGTGCAAAGAAAATTCGAGGGAAGGTACCTTTCGTTTGTCTACTAGAAGCACTTCAGGTTACCTCCAACCCCCAAAATGCACTCAGATAATCTTGGTAAAAGCTGTGGAAGAACGCTATTGCTACCATGTTCGGTGGCTTCCACACCCAGCCTTCTGTTCTTGGGGAGTTGGTCATCTCGAGAGTAGCCTTATCCTCCGTTTCAGTTTTCGTGTCCTTCCAAAAATTCACGCTGCCCTTATTTCGGTTAGGCCAATCTGCAGAAAAGAACCTGACCACGTCACCTTATGTACTACAGAGGCTTTCTACGACATCAAACGCATACTCATTTCCAGTCAAAATGTGTATTTGTCGTTGGCTTAAACCAACCCTCTGCATGTGTGATATAGTTTATCAAATATCCACGTAAGGTATGTATTATAAACATTCAGTATAGTTCTCACGGTCTTCTGTCTCAGTACTTGACTGTCTATTGTCAGTCTGATTAAATTTTCGTGATCTACTTTGTTGGAACATTCCCTTATGTACCTTGTGACACGCTCACGTGATCTGCTAATTTTGGTCCACCGGGACCCCTGAATTCACTAGCTTATTTACGCCTATGTGAACCGAATTTGAATCGGCGTTGAAATGGTTCTGCTTGAACCAGCCAGCAAACTCACGGTTGTTACAACAGAGAAACGAATTAAAATTTTTCCCACTTGTGGAACTCAGATGCACGTGAAACGCTCGCACCGACAGTTCTGTCTCTCGTTTTGCTTTTGGTTTTGAAAATGATTTGTCTTCTCACATTTCAAAGGTTTGTTGATTCTGTATAATATCCAACACGTGCTTGGAGTGTTCTCTGAATGACTTTCTGAGCGTTTGTATTTATAGCCACTAAGTAGTTCGATTGCGACAGCCAGCTTGTGGTGACATATAGTAGCGTTTCTTTTTCAGATTTTCTGAACCGTTCAAAAAGCGAGGTTATTTGAACAATCTAGATTGCTTGTGTGGAAACAATCCAGTCTTAGTGTTTTGTGTTCGTTCGCCCATCACCTTGGACCGTGGATTCAGAAGCATTAGAGCTAGTCAGACCACAAGTGTTTAGTTACTAGGAGGTGAAAAGGTTCAAGTACAACATAAGGCTGACGGGAACTCGGGGACTGCGCCTACCTGATGACCCCCAAGAAGGGCGAAACCGGTCGTAGG